GGTGGAAACTGGGGGACCCCCCCCAAAAAAATTACAACTGAACTCTAAACAGCAAAGATCTGTCTCCCTGGAAAAAGTGGCTGCTTTGGAGGCCGGACTCTGTGGCATTATATCCAGCTGAGGCCTCTCCCTTCCCCAAACCCAGCCCTCCTTACACTCAATGTATTTGTAATACAGTGTCCTACTTGTATATTTTTATAATGACTTTGACCTACTGATATATGCCAATAAAGGCTGACTTGACTTGACTCCACCACAAAATCTCTATGAATTTCCCAGCCTGGCACTGGCAACGGTATTTTATGACATTATTCTATGTAAATTTGTTATTTAATGTTATTTTAATTGTATTATTTAATTGTTGTACACCGCCCTGAGCCAGTTTGGGGAGGGCAGTATATAAATCAAATAAACTCTTGTCAGGCCTGGCCCTAAGGATCCCTCTTTGAAAGGCCAAAATAGGCTTGGAAAGGGCCCTGCCCTCTTCCCCTTTTTACTGACAGACCAGTTAGAAGCCTCCCCCCCCCTGATAAAGTTTTAGAGGACAGTGGAGCCCACAGCAAAAGAGGTAGGGGTGAGAAGCTCAGATGTCCTGTTTAGACATTCATACTGCAAGAGGAATCCTCCCTAATCCCAGCTCCAGTTCTGCTCTTGCTTCCTCCCCTCTCTCTCTCTCTTTCTCTCTAGCTATCAGCCAGTCTGTCTCTGTCCCTGTGGCGGCTATTTCAAAAGGTATGGGGGGGATTCAACCCTCCCAGAGTGGGTGTTTTTTTTAAACTTTTTTTATTTTTCTGAAGACTCATGCCAAAATAGGCTTGGAAAGGGCCCTGCCCTCTTCCCCTTTTTACTGACAGACCAGTTAGAAGCCTCCCCCCCCCTGATAAAGTTTTAGAGGACAGTGGAGCCCACAGCAAAAGAGGTAGGGGTGAGAAGCTCAGATGTCCTGTTTAGACATTCATACTGCAAGAGGAATCCTCCCTAATCCCAGCTCCAGTTCTGCTCTTGCTTCCTCCCCTCTCTCTCTCTCTTTCTCTCTAGCTATCAGCCAGTCTGTCTCTGTCCCTGTGGCGGCTATTTCAAAAGGTATGGGGGGGATTCAACCCTCCCAGAGTGGGTGTTTTTTTTAAACTTTTTTTATTTTTCTGAAGACTCATGGAGTCCCCTGAGTCTAGAAAAACCTGTTGGGGGAGAATGTGCCCTCTGTTTGTGGAAATAAGTATCCTCAGGCAGAGGGGACTGTTGAGGATTAGATGTATAGATGAGGCACAGAGAGCTGCAGTTGGAGAGAATAAACCCCTTCTCCTTACTCCCATACAAGCACCCTTTCAGATTCCATGCTGGATGTTTTATGCTCCCAATATGCTACTACACAATAGTTTTCTATAACCAGGTAGAGAGATTTAAGTCCCTAAGAATAATTATACCAAAGCCTTTTAAAACAGAGAATGTTCATCCAGCTGTTTTAAAGGGATTGAAAACTCTGCATCATGTAGTTTAGAAATGCATTGGGACATTGAGTATTTGGCTCAGTAAAATTTATGTGTACCTTCTAGACCTCTGTGCAAAGTTACTAAGGCATCAGTTAAAAGAAATAGCTTAGGTTAGAATGGAGATAATAGCTGTGAAGAACACTGTTCAGAATACAATGCAAATGTGACCTATTCACAAAAGTTGAAGTGTGCAATAGATACTTTGTTTAATTCTTTCTTTAAATAATGTTGATGTAAAGAGCTGAAAATTAAGACCTAGGGGTGTACACAGGTCACAAAACATCCCAATAGTTCTCTTGCACTGCTCTCATTCATTGAAATTACCAGTGCTTCCTCTTAGAGTGTCCTGGGAATCATCTAAGTAAGTTGTAGGGGGCTGGAAATTAAAGTGAAAATGAAACCGGCATGCTGAGAAGCGCTATAGCAGCCTGAACATATGTGTCTTTCTGCCAGGAGGCCAAGAATATTAATACTTCAATTGGATTGTTACTGAGAAAAAACTTTATCTTCTCTTTTATAGTATGGGCGTACACCTTTACATCTGGCAGCAAACAATGGAATTCTTGATGTTGTCCGGTACCTCTGTCTCAGTGGAGCTAATGTGGAAACCATAACTTCTGTAAGTATGGCTTAGTGTTGCGTTTGGTGTCTTGTTTTACTAGCAAAAAAAAGGAAATGAGAAAAACTGGGGATGTTGCACAGGAGTTTTCTGAACAAATAAAGAACTGAACTTTGGCACATTATTTTGACTTAAAAATTATTCTTACTGGCCTTGAAAACAATATACAGGCTTTTGATGACAAACATATAATTAATTTGGATAGCAGTGCTGTCTTTATTAACAATGCTGTCTCTAAGAAATCACTTGTTTTCTTTTAGTAACTTACGTGTTAACCTCAGGTGTGTAGCTGTGTTGGTTTGAAGCAGCAGCAGTTTTATTCAAGGTATGAGCTTTTGTGTGCACGCACACTTCTTCAAATACAATGAAATGGAAATTACCAGTCCATATATATAGGTAGAGGGTGAGCAGTGATAAAACATACAGCCTAATGAAGATGTTTAACATATTCAAGGACCAAACAGGAATAACAAGCTTAGTTTATATAGTTAACATTTGTTTGGGTTTAATTCAGAGGGGGTGGCATAGTGAAGGAAATAAATATGTCAGAATTGGAGATTGATGGGCACATGTATCCTTGTGGAATGCTGAGAGTAACTAACTGAGACCCTGCCATCACTCTCAAGCATGGAGGCGACAGAAACAGATTAACAAAGCCAGAATGGTACCCAGAGAAAACCTTTTGCAAGACAAGCCCAAAAGAGACAATAACAGAAGACCACTAGTGGTCAATACAGCTCTCAACTCAAAACAGTTCAACGCATCATCAGTGTCTTACAACATCTACTGGATAATGACAGTTCTCTTTCAAAAGTACTGGGGTGGGGCACACCTTTTCTTGCACACAGACAGCCCCCCGATATCAAACAACTCACCCACAATAATACAACAATACAACATCTAATTTGAACATGGACACTGGGACCAGAGCTTGCAATAAACCCTGATGCCAACTTTGCTGCCACATACACCCAGACAACACAATCCTGGACTGAACAACATCAACTACACCATCTCAGGCTTTTTCACATGCTCATCTTTCAACATTGTATATGCCATCCAATGCCAACAATGCCCTTCAGTTCTCTACATAGGGCAAACAAGTCAAACCATACACAAAAGGATAAATGGACACAAATTTGACATCAAGAATCATAAGACCAAGAAACCTGTGTATATGTGTGTATACATGTGCCCATCAATCTCCAGTTTTGATATGTTTATTTCCTTCACTATGTTTTCCCCCAAAATTAAACACAAACAAATGGTAACCATATAAACTAAGCTTGTTCATCTTCCAGGCTTCTGTGCAGGCACACATGGGACTGCACAGCTTCAGGCCAGCCACCGGGAGGAACTACCAAGCTTTTACTAGACTTTTCTTCCCAAGAGAGTCAGGCTCCTCTCCAAGGAGGGATTTCCTGCCAAAAAGTCACCTGACCTGGGAGGAGCCTGCTCTCTTCCCTCAGTCCTGTTTTTGCCGCCACCAAAAGAGGACTGTTCTGCGAACTGCAGCGATTCTTGAGGAGAAAAATGGCCTCAGGAAAACAAAAGGTAGCTCTGTTTAAAAAATGTAAAACCTGTGGAGCCAAGATGGCTCAGTCAGACGAACATGCCTATTGCGTCCTCTATCTTGGGGAGACTCATAACTCCTCCACCAGTAAAGCCTGTAAGGCCCTGACACCTCGAGCGAGGGAAGGGCCCCAGAGACTATTTCGGAGATGGCACCTTCAGAGAGACCCTTGCGGCCTCCGTCTGTGTGTTCCACCCCAAATCCCGCTCAAGCACACGATGCCGCGGCCACTTCACTACCTCAAGCTGAATCCGAGCCGCCGGCTAAGAAAACTAAGAAAAAGAAGAAGGCTCAGAAGCGGTCTTCGCCACCGGCGAGTCAGCCGTAAACCGTGGAACAGCCGAAGGACTCAGCGGCAAGTTGGTGCCAACAGTCTCCATCACCTTGGCGTCAACGCTTCCCCAGTAGCAACAACCGTCTGGCGTCAAGGGGCAGATCTCTGCAACGGCATCGAAGGACCTCTGGCTCACCTCGGTACCGATCACCCTCGGTACCGATTATTGGTTCCGAGCACTCGCCACAAACCCTAAACAACCATCGCTGCGAACGTTCTCTCTCGTCTGATGTGCTCCTCATTCATCCGTTGAGCCCTGGTCCGTCTCTAAACAACTTTGACATGCCTCTGTCTTGGTACCCCTGGGCAGATAGTCAGGAGTTCGACTCCAGGCCAGCTCGTCATGATCATTCGAGGTCACCCCGTTCTGCGCACAGGGATTCACTGCAGGACTCCAGCTATGGTCATCTGCAATCTCGATCTGAAGGGGATGCCGTCTCCGACTGTGGCTCTGAGCTGGCTTCTGTTCCGTCCCCAGATGATGTCATTGGCGACAAGACTGCGGTGTCTCCTTCGGAAGACATGTCTTCGTTTGCCGACCAGATCATCAGAATGGCTAAGGCGTTAGAGCTAAAGCACTCCTCATCTGAACCCAAGACTAAGGACCCTCTCATGCAGGCCCTTTTTACACCTGACACGGGTCCGGTTGCCTTGCCCTTCCTGCAGGGCCTTCAGGAAGTGATGTTTGCAGCCTGGACACACCCTGCATCTGTGACACCGCCCGCCAGAAGATTGGATGGGCTTTATAAGATCATAGACTCGGACTGTGCCTATCTCTTTCAGCACCCGAAGCCTAACTGGTTCATTTCAGAAGTTATTCCTGCCCATACTAGATATGGCTCGCATACCTCCCCAATTGATAAAGAGGGTTGTAAGCTAGACTCTTTGGGGCGGAAGATGTATTCTTCTGGAGTGATGGGCCTTCGGGTAGTAAATTTTGCAGCTGTCATGGGGCTCTACAACCGCCTACTCTGGGAGAAGATAGCTCCTTATCTAGACGCCTTGCCCCAAGAGAAGCGGACCCTAGCTAGAGCAATAGCTGATGAGGGTAGGCGGTTGGGAAAGCTGCAGGTGAATGCTGCCCATCACGATGCTGACT